GGGGGGGGGGGGGGGGAGGAGACAGTGTTTTAAACCTCTCTAATTTAATGTTCGCTTTTTATGTGTCTAACATCAAAGCATTTTTTCACTTCTATTTAATCAAAATTAATCACTAAGATTACTACAGTAATTTATGTTGGAGATTATTGAAATGAGTGTTTTATTAAAATCTGGTTTTATTACTAAAACACATTCTGGCTAAGGAATCATGTGAGTCTGCTATTAAAGACTATTAACTGGGAACTGGGAGTTAATCATAACAGTCATGCTGCCAGGTCCTTTGACAGCAACACACACTGGGTTTGTTTCTGCTTTTACTTCTACTAACATATTCAAGTCAATTAGTTACCCCAGCACACGAGCAGTCAGAGAAACTCCTGTAAAATAGGGAAAGGGAACAAAGGCACATACATCTCAGTAGTTTTGAACAAAGAAAGGGTAATCAGAAAGAGACTCACCAGCCTGATTTGTTGTGATGCTGACAGCAGCAAATTGTCTGGAAAGTGTACTCAAGTCAGATACCCCATTGACTGCATCAATCTCAAAAGTGTAATTGGTATGCGCCAAAAGGTCCACTACTGTCACTGTGGTGTTGGTGAGTCCAGTCTGACGGGGTAAGAATCGCACGTTGTCGCTACACGGCTCACACATCTTGATGTTTCCTCCACATTTCTTGCAAATGATGTTGAAAGTGACATCTTTCCGGCCTCCAGTGTCAAGAGGCCAGCTCCAGTCCAGGATAACAGATGTCTCGTTAATGTTAGAGATAACATTTCTTGGAGCAGAAGGTGGTCCTATAAAAGGAAACAGGAAATCAGAGGGATGAGATGTTCTGTAGTGCTCCAAGATATGAGTAACAAGGGTGCAAAAATACAGAAGTCAAAAACACAAAAAAACCAAACTCTTCTAGCTACTTCCTGTAGAGACTCCTGAAATATTTCACTGGACTACAGGCCTATAAAGGACCATGTTTTCTTATAGACAGACAGTACCCTCAGGGTGCAGTTCAGGATCGAGGGCTGAAAATATTGGTAGCAATTTAAAAATCCTAGCTCTCCTTCTTGAGTCTGACAGAGAACAAGAAGGAGAAAATGAAAACAGAAAGACATAAACCCAGCCCACCAATTTTTGGTAGCCTGTCCAACATGTAAGAAGACATGGGAGGCAGTGGATGGCTGACTGCAATGGGACATGAGAGGAAGCAAGCAAGCTGTTGAGATACAGATGGAGGAGCAAGAATGACAGCCCCGAGCACAATGATGCTACTCACTGGTACAAGCCATGGATGGAGGGTCTTTCTCAGAGCGAAAGTAATTCTTTTCACACCTGCAGTTCAGAGACGCATCTTCATAGGTAGAGCTGTGAGGTGGGCATTTGGCACACTTCACGTTGCCGGCAGAGGCTTTGTAGAACCCAGGTCGACAAGCTGCAAAATAACAGCAGTATAGTTTTAAAATCCATGGACACCTCCTTGATTTTAACACGTGACTTTGCTACTGTCATGGGACCTATTCATATGTAGATCTCACTTTGCAGACATTTATGGTCTAAAAATACAGATTTTTCTCATAACAAGAAAGATGATGGAAAAAAAAACATCTTGGTAGAACCCATGCAGTGAAATAACACTGTTGACTTCCTTCCACCAAGATATCACCACCTGAAAATTAAAAAAAAAAAAAAAAAAGAAAAAGAATCATAGAATGGTTAGAGTTGGAAGGGACCTTAAAGATCATCTAGTTCCAAGCCCCCTGCCATGGTCAGGGACTCCTCCCACTAGACCAGGTTGCTGGTCTAGAGAGAAAGAGACCAAAAGCAGGTAAGAATCAGCAGTCTCTTTTGTTCAGCTGCTGCTTCCCCCCAAGACACACATGCTTTTCCAAATGGAATTTACCAAGTAAAAACATCATGGCTGACACTGGCCACTTGCAGGTCTGTACTCATGCCTACAACATCCATACACAAAAAGACAACATAACAAAAAGGGGCACATCCTAAAATGCATTCACCTTTTGCTATGCTTTCATTCCGCAGCAGACACTGCCTGCACAAGCACAACAGGAAAACCCCAACACATTCTCATTACAAATATAATGTAAAAAAAAAGAAGAGTAATACAAAGAAAAACGTGGCTTTTGTTTGTGTCCAGAGCCCAGACAGTTAAGCTTAGATAAAATTGCCCAGGACCTGTCACTGAATTAAATGCTAATTTGAAGCCAAAAGAAGGGGTTCACCAGTTTTAGCGTAAGCCTAAATAGGGACTCACTTTTTGCTTTGCTTATGGAGGTGAACTGATTCATAAACATAGTATAAAATCCAAGATATAAGACTACGTGGTCTTTTGTGTTCATTCATGCACTGCTCAAACAGAAAAGCGTTTAGATGGGCAGCCTGAGGTGGAAAAAAAAATTCAAAATAAAAATCCCAGCATCTTTGTAGGTGAGAGAGGGAAGCTGCAGCTTTACACCGGATGTTCAGCTTTCACGTTACTGTCTGTAACCAAAACCTAACTGAATATCTGGGTTAGGGAATTTTATCGATTAGTTTCTGGCGCCAAACACTGGAGTGAAACGCGTTGGCAAGTAGGGAGAAAACAAAACCCTGTGCAGTCATATGTCCTACCCCGAAACATCTTAATAAAGGAAACCCTCCTCACACCACATTGAACACAGCGTGGGAAGCACGAGACATTCCACAGTGGCACTTCACAGCCCTTGCAAATTTACCAAGGTGCCCAGCTGCTGCTGCTGCCTCCCGCTCCCAGGCCAGCAAAGCAGCTGGGAACGACATCTCCCGCTCCAAGTCCTCTCCTGCAAGCCCTGAGGTAACGATCCTGAGTTCGAGCCTCGGAGGTGCAGGCCCACCAGGCAATCTGTGAGTGCTGAACTGCTAAAAATGAGCTCGTGGCTGAGTTCAGGGAGCCTAAGGCTGACCCGGCTGGTCTGGCACAGCCTGGCCGCCTCCAGCCGGCCTTGCTCCTGTTTCTGCCTCCGCGGAGGCTGCAAGGCTGTTTGGGAAATTCTGTTTAACTTGAGGAAATAAAAGAAACCTCAGGCCTTCTTAAACACCTCCGCTAGAAGAAAATGCAGCAGGAAATGGAGTTGGCTGCTTTGGTTTTGTTGTTATTGTTGCAGCCTTTTAAGACTCAAATCTCATTCCCTCCCAAACACTGCCCCATGATACATGTGCCGTACCCAAAGTGAGCATCTTCACTCTCCCTCTCGCTCACAGAGGAGCCTCAAATGATTTTACAGTCTCTGGGCACAGCATGGCCATCCTTGGCCCTAAGACAACAAGCCCGGCAGAAAAGAACAGTTGCTGATCCCGCTTTTACTAGCACTAGTAACTAAGCAAACACACTAAGGAATAAACATCGCACTGCATTTGTCCAGCTAATTACACAGCACTTTCACCAAAACTTCCCACGAAAACTTACTGCCAGGTATTAAACTCAAATGGTTTTGCTGAGCTGTATCTACTCAGCTTGAAGAGACGTTTGTATGTTTATGGGCAGGCATACACAAGGTAAAGATCAATTTATGAACATATATAGTATTTTTTTATTTTTTAGCAATTTTATATACTAGTTTAGTGTAAAGATTGGAAAAAGACTATTAACCTAAAACTGTCATGTGGCTGGTCTTTCTACAAGACACAATTTCCACTGCTTATTAAGCATAATTTATTCATAGCATCGTAACACATGAACATTCAGTTAGAGGATGGAACTACAGGAAGACTAATTATTTGGGACACTTTCAAAGCACTTACCACCAACATTCAAATACAGCAATGAATTTAAGATAAGTAAACAACCCTGTGTGAGAAGTGGACAGATTTTGTGGGGTGAGGAAGAGAAAGGAAGGAATCAGACTGCTCCACTAATAAATATCTCTTTCATCCCTCAGGTGGAAACCCATAGACCTCATGTAATAAAAAGTGGTGGAGGTGTGGGGCCAGAGAAAGAGGAAGCAGAAAGAGAAGCACACAGGAAGCACCCTGGTAACAGGAGATCCAGCGTTTTCTTTTCCAGAGGGACAGATCTTTCGCGCTTCTGCTGTCACGGCATAGAGTGATCAGCCAGGGCAGGGGGATGAGCTGGTCAGACCCCTGCTGCCCCGGTATGCCCTAGTGGGGGCATCCCAATCTCATGTCTTCCCTTCAGGCTGTCTCGTGCTCTCTGTCTTTGTCCATCAGATCAATTTTAAGATTACTCACAACTGCAGCCCAAAGGAGAAAAAAAAAAGCAATTGTACTTGAAATTGAAGCTTGGAAACGGGGGTGCCAGTAGAAGTTCTCATCAATGTACTTACTATTATTATCCTTTTCTTAGTCTTTTTTAAATTCTGATATATAAGAGAAAAAAAATGAAGCTTTTATTTCTAAAGGCATTAATTTTTTTCATGTCATAAAAATTGGATGACATGAACTGAGAGAAGAAGGCTTGGCTTTTTGAGGTGAATACCATGACTTTGGTTTCAGTCAGGTTGAAAATAAAAGCACTAGCACACACACAGTCTTCCCAGAATCTGTAATTTCAGCATGGGAAACAGCTGTGAGCAGTACTTGCTTTTTCTCAACATTTTCTTCTAGAAGCTAAGGAATTGTCCTTTCCCTCATAAGGGAGAACAATGTGAGAGGAAGTAGATGCAATGGGCCAAGAAGAAAAACCTCTCAGCACACTAAAAGTAAGGCAAACTTTAAGAGTTTCTACATTCATGATATAAACTGTAGGGCAAGGCTGTCTGGATTTACTTTTCAAGAAGATCTCCTCAAGTCAGATGCATGATATCTGTCAATCCTGGTAACTCCTGTGATAACTTCAACCTGAAATATTATTTTAAAACTGTATGCAGTCTGATTTCAATCTCTTTTATTTGAGTGCAAATCAGACTGACTTTATTGAAGTCACCTACTGGTAAGAGTTTCAGGACTGCAGTTGTCCTCGTTACGGTATGAAAATTAATTTCCTTAAGCTATAACTGATGAGTCTGTCTCAGAGACAGAGAGCAGGGAAAGTTATTTCAGTGAAAGAAAAACAAATGCACGTAGCAATCTATGGTAGTTACTGCTAAAAGAAATGTGACTGTCTTTTCAACAGCAAAATTAATTTTGCCTTTGTTTGACTAACCTGTTTGAGATGAAAACGTGGTCCCAATTAAGGGTTAAATGATTAATTTCAGTTTGAATTAATTTTAAATTAAAATATAAAGCTGTTAGCAAATTGGAGCATTTTAGTATTCAGACCCTGCAGCCCCCTGTACACTGAGCAATATCACCAAATCCCATTTGTAAACACCAACTAACGACCTGCGCCCACGCTGCCTGAGGAGGTGATATCCCAGCCCCGGTACCCCAGGCCTGACAGGGCCCATTTCCCTGCGCAAGGTCAAAGCAACTCTTTATTTGCAAAACAAGCTGCACTCCCCAGTCCTGCAGGAACTCTGCTTTTTGTGCTCTGAACAGAGGTGCGGACGCTTTGAGGCAAGGCTCAAGCATCACGGTGCGCTGGAAGAGGGTCCATACAGCCATGAAACCAGGTGCACAACAGGCAGCGTCCACCACGCAATAGAGTGTTTCCTTCTGTTCTTCCTCTGCTCTTCAATAAAACAGCCCGGGGGCAAAATGCCTCTGTGGCATTAAAAAACAGCTTTGAGAAAAGAAGGGAATTCAATCATAAACCCAGAAAGTTCAGGGATACCTTAACATTTCCCCATCACGAGCGTTAGCAAGATGGATGACAGCAACCCTGGGACAAGCCTCCTGCCCCTGTCCCCTGCAGAGAAGACAGGGAAGCATCCCTGTGCATGTGGCCCATGTCAGAGGGGCTTTGCAAACCACTCCTGCTGTCACATGTGGAAATGGCATTCCAATGAGCAGCAGCGGAGGTCCTTGCACTGGACCTGAATCACAGAATGACCTTTGGCTGTGCAGGAGTGCTGGGAAGTCAGTTCTACTGACTGGCTCACCTTGATGCCCACGTAGAGCCTTGCATCATCGCAATGTTCTCAAGTCCCTTTTCAAAGCATTTACATGGCTCTTTTTTCTCACTATGCATATCACGGTCACGTTCTGGAGATGCCAGCAGCACTATGTTTATCACCAGTAACAGAATTGCACGTTCACCCACCCATACATACACACGCACACGCAAAATAAGATGTAACACAGCTGTCAGCTTGTGAAAATGCATGGCATAACAAGAAGCACAGATTAACTTCATAAAACTCTCAGAACCATTTTATTTTCCTTGGGCGAGTCATTTCCCTTCTTGCGCTTGTTTATATCTTTGAGAAACAACAAGAAGGTGAAAACGATGATTAGCTTAAAATGAAGATTTCAAAACTGTTCATTTCATACTTCTGTCACAAATTATATCCAACCATATGTGTTATTCTTGTTGTATTAAAAATAACACTATATAGA